CAAGTATCATCTTGATGGCAGTCATTTATACTCTGAATATGAAACACATCTTATTAATCCAACCCTTTATGAACTACTCTAATGCACAAATGATTAAAAATGTAACATAGAGACTGTCAACGGCACATATATCTCCAGAAAGAGAGAAAATACCTCACAGGTACAGATACAAACCTCTTAAAAATTAAGTATAAGCAGCAGAAAAATAGAGGAAGGAAGTTTCTAATGTATATTTAAAATCCTAAGTGACAGTCACAGCACGCCAGCAGCACAAGAATAGGAAAGACCTGTATCAAAACAGAGTAATCACTCCCATTTGATAACAACTTCTGTGAGGACAGATCAGATGGCAGAGCAGGAGTTATGGGGGTTGATTTGGATGCAACAGCTCATTTTGGGCAGGGGAAAAAAATAAAATTAAAAATAACAAATGCGGAGAAGCCTCAGTTGTTTGAGTCTGGCTGAGGAGGTGCTTTTACAGGGCAGTGCTCAAGGGACTGTGACTGAGGTTACACACGAGCTCCATGGGAACAAGGACAAGGCAGGGTGTCCATACTAATTGCTGGGGAAGTAGCCAAGTGTCACTGGGGAGAAAATTGCATGGCTGAAATCCAAGAGGCAACGGGACCAAAACACAAAGGAATCAAAGCTCCGAAATGAGCAAATCCACACTGGCTGGGGGAAGTGTTATCCCAGCAAACAAACCAATGCAAGGGCCCCAGAAAGCATCTCTCTCCTCTAAAGGGAGATCTCTCTCCTCTAGAGGGTGCCTGGGAATGGTGTGAGACGTTGCAGAACATCCTTCCCAGATGCTGTCAGGCAACACTTGATAAAGTGTTCACAGCCCAGCGCTCCAAGACTTCCCAGCAAATGTAAATGGATAGGTGCTCCCTCCTTCCAGTCACAGGTCACCTGTTGTGTCCTCACACACTCTGGGGCCGTGTGGAGACAATCCCACACACTTTAGTGCCCCCATAAATCTGTGTGGGCAGCGCTGGCAGCTCCGTTCTGCCCCGTCACCCCCATGGATGCTCGGGAAGCCACGGGCTCGGGGCAGCCAAGCACCACCAGAACAGAAACTCCTGGGATGTGCAAACCCTTCCCGAGCACTGAGACTGTTCTCAGGCTGTAAATCACACCTGATACCCTGTACACCACATAATAGCTGCTTAACCCTCATTATTAGATGTTTAAGCCCAGCTGGGTGGGAGCTCCAACACTTGTCCCACCTTCCGTGGGCACATCCCAAAAGAAACCCTCCAGCAGAGCAACAGGTTCAAACCCTGCAGAGCAACAGGTTCAAGCTTTCAAGACAAATTATACCTGGATATTTTGCACTTAATGTTACCTTTAAATGTGAATGCAAAGAAAAAATATTAGATATTTGAATACAAGTCTGTTTATCGGATATATTGGTGTCTTTTCTGTTATAGCATTGGTTATTAGTTGAGAAGTGTCAGCCCATAAATAAACCAACCAGTGCTGCCATTCCCAAGGGTTTAACCTTGGCTCATCATCAGAGTCCTCAAAGACAAAGATGGAAGCAGTTTGCAGATTTTCAGACAAAACCAAATCCACCTTTACACCTCCAAGTTTGGAGCAAAATCCCCTCCCAAGAGCCCATCTGAGAGCACAGGGCAGCTCAGGGGGCTGGGATGGTTCCCTTCTTGGGGAATTCATCCAGGATTTGCTCCACTCTGACTGCCCCAGAGGTGTTTGGGGCTTGTAGGTGTGAGGGGAGGGGTTTTCAGTGCTGAGGCTGCAGCTGCCACACCACAAGTCACCTGCTCTGTCTCTGCTGGAAAGTTCTCTGCCAGGAACCTCCTCTCCTCACTTCCTTCCCTCACCTCCCACACAGGGAAGAATTTGGATTATAGAATCATGGAATCATTTAGGTTGGAAAAGACCTCTAAGATCATCAAGTGAGGCCTCACCAGGGGGACAATCACTTCTTAATGTATAAGAACCACAACCCCCAGCTAGCATTATAATTCTTAATTTCTTTAATGCAATCAGCAGCAGTGGCACATTTCAGCAACAAACCCCAATTCATATCCCCAGTCTGGTTAAAGAAGGAGGTCAGGAGTTCAGGCATAATGCAGGAGAGGGGTTTGGGGGGGACACAGAGGGCAGAGGAGGCAGGGAAAGGGATAAATCAAAGCACTTCTAAACAAGCAGTTTGGACAAGAAGTGAAAATATCTGAACACAACAGAAAACAACCTTCCAACCCATTCTTATAGGTTTCCCAGAGAAACTGTGGCTGCCCCATCCCTGGAAGTGTCCAAGGCCAGGTTGGACAGGGCTTGGAGCAACCTGGGATAGGGGAAGGTGTCCCTGCCCATGGCAGGGGGTGGAATGGGATGAGCTTTAAGGTCCTTTCCAACCCAAACCATTCTGGGATTCTCTGCCTCTAAAGCACGACCCCATAAGTGACCACAGGACAGCTCCAGCTTATACCAAATCTTCTGGAAACTTCCAGGTGCTACATCTTACTCACATGAATATGAAAAACAGCCTCTGCTTATCCTTGACCAGACACCACACTGAATTTTAATGGCTCAATAAGAATTTGATGGCTTGCAGAGAAGGGAGCTTTTGTAATAAGGTTTGATAAAACATCACCCCTGGGAGAGCTTGTACATAAACACCTCTAAAGAGTTATGCAACCCCAGCATGCAGCTCTCCTGACAACAAATCCATCCAGCACCAGGAGCACAACCTGACTTAAAAAAAGGGTTCTATCTCTGCATAGCAATGAGCTCTTCCTCGGAGTGCTGCTCCTTTCCAACCAGGAATGCAAAGGGAAGCAGAAAAAGGCTCCTCCCCCTCCTAAATCTCAAAGAAATTATTGTTTTCGGCAAGAGGATCAAACCCAAGACTTCTGCCAGTGCTAGAAAACACGTTGTTTGCACAATAATCCCCTCCCTCAAATGGCAGCTGGGTGTCATTCCATATTTTTTCCGGTGCCAGCTGACAGCCGGGGTTTCTAAGGAAACACCGACACTGGGGGAGCTGGAGGGAGGGGAAGGAAAGGACAGAACCTAAAAATAATTGTCACACTCCTCTTCCAGGCCTTAAAACCACCTGATAGAAACATTGCCAACATCTTGGCATGGTAACATTTCTGAGACACCCACAAGAGGAATCATTTTGCTCCGAACAATGTTTTGCTACGAGGGGGCTCTAGTTCTGAAATCACCTTTTTTTTTTTTTTTAAAGGGTGTTTGGGAAAATATGCTGACTGGATTATTCCTCAGATTACCCAGAATAAATGGCAACTTTGTCATTTTGTGCCACCCGAGGTCTTATGTGGAGCACGAATAGGAATTTCACTGATTTTTGAGGATCGATGGTTTTCGTGCTGGAAATGTGAGATTTTTTACTTTTAATTGAACTGAAATGGGTGTGGGAGGAGAAAATAATACCCCTCTCCTTGAGCATGGACAGGCCATGCTGGAATCAGACACCCAGAGCACTCCAAATCAAATAAGCCCAAAGAAATGACATCACAACACAGCAAGTTAAGCACTTTTTAGGTCAAGCTGTGGTTGAGTCAGGAGGAAGTAAAAATACACCCAGAATATTTTTGGAATGCTCTAAAGCTCTAATTTTTCAAGATGGCATTGTTTATCCAATTAACCCAGAAAAAGATCTCCTCTTGGAGGGCTACACATCAGGAATATTTCCTCATCTCTGATGAAATTAGGGCTGTGCTCTAAAAAAGGGAAGCGAGTCTGGTCTGTAACAGCTCTGAAGACACATTTATTATAAAATAACTGTGACACAAAGCTCTCTAGAAGCACTTAAGTATTTTACCATCTCTCCCAGTTACGTAGGCAACCACAAGCAGTGCCCAGTGAAGCAGATGATTTCACTGGATGTGACTACTGGGCTTTAGGCTACGTGTAAATAGTCAGAGCTTCACTCCCAGCCAGTCACTAATACACTCCATGTACACATCAGGAGGGAAATGTCTGTGGAACTGAAGTCAGAATGGTTCAGTGTGTTTTTAGAAGTGGTAGCCAGACAGTTTTTTGGGTATGACTTTGATGTTTTGTGCTGTTAGTGCTTAGCTGGAGATCCAGGGGATATTGGTTTCACAGTATGTGCTGATCCCTCACTCTGAGTACCACATTTTACCCTGAAAACTCTCTCTACTTCAAGGCTGAATTAGTTCATATCCTATATAACTCAGGTTGCCCAGAGAATCTGTGGATGCCACACCCCTGGAATTGCTCAAGGAGAGGATGGATGAGGCTTGGAGCAACCTGGGCTAGTGGAAGGTGTCCCTGCCCATGGCAGGAGGTGGTACTGGATGAGCTTAAAGGTCCCTTCAACCCAAACCATTCTATGATATCAGAGAGAAACAGCCAACCTATACATCACAGATGTAAATATATATATATGCACACATATATAAAGCTAATTAATTGTCTCCAGGCATCATTATTTAAAGGATAATGGTCTGTATCTTGTAAGTGTGCAAGTAGAAATGTAAGTATATAGGAATCAAACTCCTGTCAATTATTATCAAAGGATTACAGGGATATACCCCCAGAAAAGAAGAAAAGCTGGGCTGCTTGTTGGGTGGAAAGTGGTCCCTCTTCTCTTCCAGAGCATCTCCCAAGCCCTACCCACTTTAGAAATCAACCTCCTTCCCTTCCTTGTGCTGGGGGCAGGGAGGAAGAGCCCAGCTTAAATCCCCAAGGCTCATTAGCCACGTGAAAGGATGGTTACACTTCCCTTTGCTTGATAAAATGCAAGAGCCTCACACCCCTCTGCTTTGGCAGCCAAGCAGCTCCCGGGCTGGAGTGAGGGGAGTGCCCAGGGCTTCCCACATTGCTTTAATCAGGGCTTTACTCAGCCTCTTGATACGCTGGGAGAGCGTTTCCAGCATGTGGAAATTCAGTTTTAAGTGTTCCCATGGATCATAAGCCATAAAAGAATTCATCTGCTGGCTGAGGCAGGTTAAAGCTTTACAAATTCAAACAGACATTACCTTCAGTGCCACGCCGAAGGAGCCTCCTCTCTCCTCCCTCCTCCCATCTGGAACTGCACCAGCTGGAGCCCAGGAGATGGTTTCAATTAGCAGCTCAAACACAGCTGAAAAAGAAAGTAGAGAGGAAAAGGCCCCCTCCCTTTTTTTTCCTCTCTCTCCTTAACAATCAAAACCACACCAATTGATTTGTGCCCTTCCTGAGTTTGGGCTTTTTCAAGTTTGGTTCATGATCATAAAGCAACACAAAATAAAACCACCACACAAAATAAATCTTTGTGCTCAGTTTTTAGCACGTGGGCAGAACAAACCCGGCCTGACTGACCAACCCAACCTTCCAAAATGCTGGATTTCCATCCAGCTCCTCCCAGGCTGCCGAGGCTGCAGAAGGGCACAGCAGCAATGGGCTGTTCATCCAACTGCAAAGGTTGAGCAGATGGAGTGGTTTGCCATTTGATGTATGATTAGGGGGGATTGAACTCTTCATTTTTGTGACAAAATCCTGATAAGGACAGCAAACAACTCTAAGAAGGATGAGGAATGTCTGTGATTGTTTAGGGATTCTTGGGGAATAAAAAGGAAGTGAGAAAACATGAGACAAAAAAAAGAAAATGTGAAGGGAGAAGATGATGTACATTATAGTTCTAAAATTTCCCAATGAATATTCTAAGTAGATTTCACATTATTTAGAATTTAAAGCGAAACATTTACAAAAATTCACTTATTTGGAAATCTAACTAGGGTTCCTTTACATTGCTCTTCTGTGTTTCTGTCATTGTTCTCCTGGTTCCAGTGGCACCTCAAAATGTTCTTCAGCCTCTCATGGTGCCACTTATTTCCTAGAATCATCAACACTGGAAAAAGACCTCCAAGATCATCAAATCAAACCACAGGACTCTTGATTAGGAACCCACTATTTTTTAAGAGTAAACTACAAAAGAACAATATATATAAAACCTGTGTTCAGCTTCTAAATGACTGGATTTTTGTAATGGATATACAGATTTCACTTTACATGATGTGAAACATGTCTAAAGTATTAATTGGGAAATTTTAGGACCAGAAATTCTACATGATGTGAAACAGATCCAGAATACTAATTGGGAAATTTTAGAACTATAATAAACATTATCTTCTCCCTTCTCATTTTCCTAGTAGAGTTTTGCATATCTCCTGATCCCAAATATCCTTTCTGTGTTTCTTCACACAAAAGAAATCTGACTCCTTTTATCTTTTAGCACATTTCCCAAAGGAACAGTTTCAGCTCCAGTCTCAGCTATTTGTCCACGGCGACTGCAAATTGATTTATTCCTCAAAATGGTCAAACTTTGTCATCAAAATGCTGGGAAAGGCTTTAATTCAATCTTTGCATGTCCTTTAACTTCCTTTTATCTCTTTTGCTGCTTAAACAACTGCTAAAATGTTAAAGGCAACCTTTTATTTATTTATGAAGCAGCCAAAATCAAGGCAATAGATTAGAAGGGACCTGTGTGCTTTCCTTAAAACTGCAAAGAAGCCAGACAATGTTTTTATTTGAGTTTTTCAGCCCAGATTGAAGACTAAGAATGAGGCAGCAACAGACTCCTCTAACGTACCACTGATAAAACCCCTGGTTAAAAACATGGTCCAACTAAAGTGGGATTTTAAAAAGCCCAAAATATCAGTTTTTATGTCTTTTCCCTCTCTGATGGGTTGGATTTTGTGTGTGTTTGTCCATATACAAGTGAATGTGTACATTTACATAATATGCATAATAGATATATTGCATAATAAATGCATAAATTTAGCAACTATATGTGCTGCAGATTTTCAAATGCAGAGGGACAGACACAAATGACCCGGACATGCTCAACAAAATTCCTCTTTTCAACTGAAAATGTTGCTAACCATTTGTTCATGTTTTATGTAACACACCAACTTGTCTTTCACTTTTTTTCTATTCCCAGTTCCCATCATTTATATATATTTAATGTCCTGCTCTCAACTTGTGGCTTCATTTCTTATGCTGAAAAGCGCATTCAGCAAAAGCTGTTTTTTCTTGAAGCTCCCTCGTTATTTACTGGAATTTAAGATCATTAATCAACTTCTGTGTGGACTTTTGGCCCTCAAGTTTTAGCCTGTCATTCCCATATCCTTACAGTGGTGAGAATATCTGGTTTTATGGGACTTTCTTTTGTTATAAAGAAAAACCTGGCTCTTTAGTGGAATTTTAGGCATCAGCTTAAGGAGGGAATGGCTTTTTTCCTCCAGGATGAGCATCTAAAAACCTGTCTAGGTGCACCAAGGATCTGAATTTCACCAGGAGGGTTTTATACTAAAATAATTTAGGGTGGGGGGGTTTAGGAGTTGGTTCCAATGGGGTTTTTTATGATCTTTAGGATCTCAGTAGTTGATTTTCACCATCCAGCCATGAAAATTTTGGCCTGTGCATGTTGTGAGTGACTCCTGGTCCTCATACCTGTAGAGAACAGCCTGTTCTTTCCAAAAAAAAAAAAAAAAACCAACCTTGCTCTTGTGAAGGGTCACCCCAGCAGAAAGGAGTTAACAGGGGGATTTATTCCTATCCAGGAGCAGGGAAATCCAAATTTCTCCTGTCTCCTCTCCGAGCTACTGGCAGGGTTTTAACAGAAATGGAGACACAGACATGGAAATAAGGTCCTTACAGTCAAAGCTTGACTGGAACCCAAGTTTAAAACCCCAGATTCTGTTCAAATCTCTTCTCAAAATCAACATCATTGCACCAGTGCATTAGTTTTAAAATCAGATCCCAGAGCAGCAAAACCCTGGGAGTCCCACATCAGCAAAACTCTTGGAGATAACACTAATTTGGGACAATTTTCTAGCCAACTATATTTATTTTATGCTTGGATTGGTTTTTGAAGGATATATAAAATATAAGTATTAACTTTTCTGGGGTCCTAATTGCAGAAACCATCTCAGCTGTTGTATCAGATAAGATTTGAAACTGTTAAGTTTTATTTCATGTATTGTCTGCTTCTGTACTGATGGGTTGGGTCGTTTAACACACATCAGGTGTTTAGGTAGAGAGGGCTGGTAGTAAAACTGGCTTAAATAAAATATAAATTACTACTTTTATTTTAATTTACTGCTTTAGTTTTATTGCCAGGACCACCTACAGGAATATCTATACTTCCCACAAACAATTAATTACATTATCACTTAACACAGATGATTTTACTCAGCAAACTGCCACGAATACAAATCCACTCCCGAACGTGAAGATCAAAGTGTTATTTCTCTTGTTTTATTTCCCTCTGAAAAAATATGAAATAACCAAAAAAGACGTTTTGGATTAATTATGATCTTTTTGTTATTTAGTTGCTTCAGTTTCAGGGTCTCAGAAGCACTTCAGGACAAATTATATCTCATATATATGATTTTCCTGAATAAAGACTTTTTGTCTGAGGTAGAGACAGGGCCTAACCCAAGGGCATAGACTTAGTTTTGATTCATTCAGTAGCACATCTGTGGAAGCAATATTAGAGCAGCCTTAAAACACTGAAGTGTTCCAGGGCAGAGAGAGGTTTATTAGGGATTTCATAGACCATCCTTCAAATCAGACCCCTTAAAATTCTCCAAGCTGACAGAAATAATAAACTTGCAGTCTTTCTTCCTCAAACACCTTCATATCTAAGGCTGAGTCTGCCTCTCCTTCCTAAGATCATTTCAGTAAATTAGGATTGAGTTATACAACCTAATGAGGGGAATTAATTTCCTAAAATTACCTTCGCTGAATGAAAACATAAGGAACATATAATCAGATTTTTTTTTTTCCAGAGGAAAGAGAATCACAGTGAACGGAACAAACAGAGATGTCTCGGATGGAAAAACACTTCCTTTTCTTTCCAAAACAATTTTACATAATAATTCTATTTTTACTCTCCCACTGACTTCCATCCAATCTCTCTTCACTTTGAAAAGACACAATGACTGCACAGATAAAGCTTTTTAGCTCCTTAGGTATAGATTCCATACAACCAACAATTAATTTAAAGATTACCTATACAGGATTTTTTTCAGTATCTTTGAATCTCCTCAGAAATACTTATTCAGATCAAGAACTTTTGATACTTTTGGATCCAAAATAGCTCAAGTGGGATATGTTTTACTCCTCCTGTATTATTAACAACTCTTCCAAAAGTGCACAGTTTTCCAGTTTTATTCTAGAAAGTGCCTCCAAATCCAGGATTAAGGCATTAATATTAATAGCCAGAATATGACCCTGTGGCATTAAATTCCTGAAGCATCTTTCTACAAATTTATGAAAAGAGATTATGGGGTTTTTTTTGTAGATAAAAGAGCCAGTCTGAAAAAAAATAACAACAACCCAACCGAAAAATGCAAACCTCCAATGCTAAAATAAATGAACTCCAAACCCAGCTGAATGTCTTTCCCACTGGCCAATCCTGTCATTTTTCCTGACTAAGAATGAGGAATTCTGCAGGACAGGAGACCTCTCTGCCCACCCTCAGATCTTTTCTTTGAAGTGGATCAGCTCAGCTTCTCTGGGCTTGTCCTGACAGCAACAAACACCCCCAGAGACCCAAATCCCACCTGGGCTCTCCTCTGCACCAAAAGGACATCCCAGGTCTCTCAGGCCATCACAGAATCACCTTCCACTAGCCCAGGTTACTCCAAGCCCCATCCAGCCTGGCCTTGGACACTCCCAGGGATCCAGGGGCAGCCACAGCTTCTCTGGGCAACCTGTGCCAGGGCCTCACCACCCTCCCAGCCAAGAATTCCTTCCCAATATCCCACCTAACCCTGCCCTCTGGTAGTGGGAAGCCATTCCCCTTCATCCTGTCACTCCAGGCCCGTGTCCAAAGTCCCTCTCCAGCTCTTGGAGCCCCTGGAAGGTCCTTCAGAGGGGTCCAAGGGTTGAGATTGTGATGTGCTGCATCTTCAGAGGAGTGAAAGGTCTCTGCAGCTTTGCTCTGCAGACCCAAGAGTGATGGAGCACATGTCAAGGGTCTGCCTGACCTCTCTCCTCCCACACTGAGCCAAGCAGGAGTCACAGTTCCTTGCCATGGGGGATGCTCAGGAGCTTCAATGAGGGAAATCACCACAGAAGTGCTAAAAACTATCAGAGAATCATAGAATGGTTTGGGTTGGAAGAGAACTTAAAACTCATCTAATTCCATCCTCCTGCCATGGGCAGGGACACCTTCCTCTAGCCCAGGTTGCTCCAACCTGGCCTTGGACACTCCCAGGGATCCATGGGCAGCCACAGCTTCTCTGGGTAACCTGTGCCAGGGCCTCCCCACCCTCACAGGGAACAATTTCTTCCTAATGTATCATTTAAACCTCCCCCCTGTCACTTTGAAGCCACTCCCCCTTGTCCTGTCACTCGATTCTCTTGTAAATTAATGTTTGCAAGAGCTGCCAAAGAGCTCCAGTGCAGCCAGGGAGGGGGACTGGTGTGTCCTGTCCTCCCAGTCCCTGCAGCAGGATCTCAGCTCTCCTGGAAGGACACGGCGGTGGCAGCAGCACGTTCCATTAGTTTTCCCAGCTAATGAAAGACCTCAGGCAATCTAATTCCTGCTCCTTTCTGAGGAATCGTGCCAGGTATATTCCCAGGCCAATTACTGCCTTCACAAAGAGCTCTAAATCTGTCAACAAGCAAAAGTGTGAACTACAGTATAAAAACCCAGTTAAGACTGGGAGCCAGTTGTTATAAGAGGAGTGTTGCTTCTTGCAGAGGGAACAGTGAAATCTGGCTGTGTGACAGCCAGCCCACAGCACCACTGCCCAGCTGATGTGTTAGACACTCTTAGATCATGCCAAAAAGCTTGTACTCCTTGTTTTTTATTGATAAATAAATGCTTATTCTCTGGCATGCCAATATGATAAATATTTTTCCAGCTACTGTGGGAAACTTCAAGAAGGTTCCAATAACTTCCCTCACTGATGGAAACAAGAGCAAAGGCAGATGATGGATTTTTATCTACAGAAGTAACAACATCTCAGTGAATGTGAATGTATTGATCTAAAAATGAGCATGTGCAGAAATTCTGCAGTTTTCCCGTGGAAACTCTGTGTAGGAGTCAGGGAGATAAAAAACATACAACAAAATGTGCTCTGACTGTCACCCCTGTGGTGTCACAAAGGCTTTGGGGTTGTTGCCATGTATTTACCCATCCTGGAGGAAATGTGGGTGTTGGGAGGGATCAAGAATTCAACAAGAGTGATGTGGCTCCAGCAGGAGCAGAGATCAGTCTCGGACATGTGAATTAAGAGATTGGAATTCTTCAGGGCTCTGCTGTTGGCTTGAATGAAAGCTGGAGGAACCCCAGAGAGCTGTGGATGGGCACACAGACACTTCTGGGATTGTAGAATCACAGGATCATTGAGGTTGGGAAAGATCTCCAGGATTGCAGAGCCCACCCTGTGCCCCATCCCCACCTTGTCCCCCAGCCCAGAGCACTGAGTGCCACGTCCAGCCCTTCCTTGGACACCTCTAGGAGTGGGGACTCCAAACCCCCCTGGGCAGCCCCTTCCAGTACCTGACCAACCTTTCCATGAAGAAATTCCTCCTGATGTCCAGCCTGAACCTCCCTGGGCACAGCTTGGGGATATGTGCTCTTATCCTGTCGTTTTCCTGAAAAGAAGTCAAAAATCTTCTTTCTATTGATTCAGCATTTGAGGAATCTCCCACCCAGCTGATCTAGAACATCTGGAGGCTTCTCACACGAGGCAATTCCTTGCCTTCAGCCCCATGTCCTGGGACTAAATGGACTGGGATGTCCCCTCAGTCCCTCGGAGCTGTTGGCTTGTACCCAACCAGCACTTTGGCTGTGCCCAGTTCCTCTGGGAGAGGCTGATTTTCAGCTGAAGCTTCCCAGGTTTAACTTTCCCATGAAAAAAAAACTTGTGATCTGCAAAGGGTGAATTGTGGATATTCCCCAAGCTGAGTCTCAGGGCTGGGTGTTGATCCACCTTGGCTGAAGATCTGGAATTGCCAAAGCTTTGCTGGGAGAGTGCTCAGAAACACTTTGGATTTCACGGGGTGCAGCTTGGAAAGAGGTTCTATGGGAAAAGGAGATAAGATGTTATAATCAGATGAACTAAAACTACAGGATTGATGGGGACTGTCAACGTAATTATGGAATGAATCATGTCTGGCTCTACAGTTATTAGTCAAAGCAATTCATTATTTGCTTAAAAATAACATTAAAATTTAGCCAATAAAACCACTTATTGATGGCTGCTCTGACTTTTTTTTTTCCTTGTCTAAATGTCATCCCTGTTAAGAAAACGTAAAAGAAAAAGTCATTAAATCATCTTAGGCATAAAAAAAAAATCCATCTTTCTTCATTTCAATAAATAGAAAAGTGAGACATTATCTGACATAGATTTAGGCACATCAGTTATGCAACGAAATATTACAGATTTTTTTTCAAGTGCCCTGAGGAACTCATAATTAAACAAAAACTATTTTTACTATAAAACCTGGCATTATTTAAAGGTAAATAAACATCTGGAGGTGTGAGCTTTCCCCCATGTTCTTGACATTTCCATACCTTGTCCTTCTCCCGATGCCAGGAACGATTTCTACCCAGACAGAGGTGCCTTGATTGTTTTCTCCTGTTGATCTGCCTGTGTTGTTTGGTAATTTCTGTCCTTCCTGAAGAACTAAGCACCATTGCAAACACTTGTACAATTTACACCTGAAATATTCCCATGGATAGGAGAAGTTCCAGCCTGCCATTCAATTTGATTTAAGTATTGATATTTTTCCTTCACTTGAGGGCCAATCAATGCCCCACATTAGGAAGTAAAATTCACTGAGCATTTTCCAACTGTGTAACAGGTTTTTGATATATTTTGAAGCATTTTAGGAGTCGCTTATTTTCAGATGAAATTGAATTTTTTGACTGGTTTTAATGATCTCATTAATGGCTTGTCAGGTATCTGTGTTTCCACAAGTAGTTTTACATATCTCCAGTCGGATCATTCCAGACATTTCCCATTTATATTGTTTTGTGAAGGCTAATGAGGCCTCACCTCTGAGCACAAATGATCTGGTTCTACAAAAACTGAGAATCAGTTGATCTGATAAATTTAAATGCAACAGGAAGATGCTGAAAATAATTATCTGCAAATGTGTCTGAACTTGTGAAAGGAGTATTATTGTGCAAAGTTAAAGCTTCTGTGCTGGTTTCCCCCCCTCTTTCAGAGTCATCTCCTCAATCTTAATAAAAATAACATTTGATGCAGGATGACTCCTGCTTCTGGCACCTGAAGTGAGTCTGAGCACAGGTAACTGTGCAAAAATCTAATGCACAAATAACTTACTGAACTTGATTAAGGCCAAATATTCACAAAGTAGAAATCAAACTCTAAGAATGAAAACATAATTTTAAAGCTGGTTCCCGTGAAAATGAATCTTTAAAACTGAAATATCAACTTAAAATAAATAGAGAGGTGTCAGTCAGTTCTCTTATTTCTCCTAACACTCAGACACACTTAAAATAAAACATAAGAAATTCATTAATTTTTTTTTATACTCATAAAAAATTTCTCTGCTTGTTAAATGTAACAGAACTGGACATTTATTTTATATTTTCCAGGAGCTACTTCACAACAAGGAATTTCTACGAATATTCCAAAAAACACTTTGCACCGGATAAAAAGAGAATAAATAGAGCTGCCAAATCTCTTGTCCTTGGTGAAATTAGTTTGTGGTTATAGTTACCATTGACATTGCTGTTCAAAATCCCAGCTAAAATTAGGATCTCAAATGAAATTCCACAGGTAACACCCCCATACCTGGATGAGTTTCCTAGACCAGTTCCTTAACTCTGTGTCCAATTACCTTGCTTTTACTTTTATTCCTGTGATCTGCTGATAATTTAATCACTGTGATCCATAGCTACAATATTTGGAAAAACCTCAGTCTTCCTTTCCTACTTCTTGCAGTGTGGCCTCTCTTCACACCCACAAAATCCTCATTTCAGAGTTTCTTCCTCTGTGGGCACTCACAGCTTCCCTGCTTTTATCAAACATCTTGGATGTGGAATCTTGTGACAAGAATCCACCTCTGTGAGGGTATAAAAGTGAAACATCTAGCTCCAAAACAATATTCCAAGGAAATATTTCTGTTCCTCATTCCACTCACCCACCAAGGAGATGAAAACTCCAGGAATTAACTCTACAAAGCGACGGGGTCCTATCAGGGCTCTGCTTTGTTTTCAGCATTTAAAACAATGTCCCAAGGTTTTCTTTGATGGATTCAGACTTCCAAAGGAAGAAGCTCCACTCCGGTGTCCCACCTGCTCCTGCTTTCCCAACCTCCCAGGGATATCAAAGGCAAGGTGTGTTTGTAGGGAAGGGAGGTGTTGTCACGGGGTTAAGTGGTGTTAAATCCTCTCCGAGAGTTTTCATCCATTCTGGAGATAAACAGACACTTAAAAAGGAAGAAATAAGAAGGAAAATAAACATTCAGCACCGTGTGCTTCAAGGCCTTCTCCAAAATAATGGTGGCCAACACACACCTGCCATTTCTGGACCTGTTGGAAATTATGCACCTTCCCCAAATTTTTAAGGGATGGCAGTGGGTGAGTGGATTTCTTCACAGACTCTTGTTGGTTTGATCTTTAAACTACAGAAGTTTTGAGTTTCTCTGGACTGGCTCTGATGAGCTTCAATCAGCAAAATCTGAGGGAGCTGAAAGTTGGACATCTGGGATCTTAAACTGATGGTCCTTCAAAAACATGTTGGAGCAACCAGAAGATACAGAGGGGATCAATAGAGACATTGCAGCCTGAGAGTTGGAGACTCTGTCAGAGGAAGAAGGATAAGAGGACCAAAAATGTGGACCAAATTCACCAGTTAAGGATAGAATACTAATTAATGAAGAGAATTGTGTTACATAGAACCAATGAATGTTAATTTCTATGTTTGTTAAAATGTATAAAAAAAGGGCTGGAATGATTTAGTCCCTAATTCTGCCAGAATAAAGCAGTGCCTGGCTCACCAACACTTCAAAGTTGTGGCTGGAGGGTTTCAGTTCTTCCCAACGATTTTCAGTGACAGACAGATACAGAAGTTCAAAAATTCAGATCCTAATCAGGATCTAAACCCTGAATTCAGATCAAAGCTGCCTAAGGTGGAGGAGAACATTTCATAGAGCAGAAGGACAATGTTTGAACAATCTACAAGCCTGAAGTGACACCAGTGACCTGATCCTGCAGCAGACCAGCCCTTCCCTGTTCCCCCCGGCCCAACAGCAGCACACACCTCAGGCAGCAGGTCCTGGGGGTGGGTGATGACCCTTCTCCAGAGTTCTGGAATGTTCTGCTCCTGCAGAGCCAGCTCCAAAGGCCCGGGGTGCCACCACACCTCCCTCCCTGGGGGCTACAGGGCTGTGCTCAGCCGCCCAAGGCCCTCTCTCTGCTGCAGTGACCTACTTTCACATCCTGCTTTCACAAAGTTGAAGAGGAAAAAAAACAAAACCACCCACCCCAAACCCCCCCCCCAAGTGCCTCAACAACAAAACCACGAACAAAGAGGCCAGTGACCACTTTTTAACTTGTTCTTTAACGTTCTTAAGCTGTTGTGGAAAATAAATACGACTCAAATCCTGTAATTCATTCTTCCATACCTGAGGCAACACGACACAATATGCATTTTTGTATTTTTTTGGCTGGCTTTTTGCTTCCAATAGCTTTGTAATAGTCTTATCCAAAAGATGAACTGCAAATGCTTTTTTTTTCTTTTTCTTTTTTCTTTTTTTGCATAAGATGCTTTCCTCTGTTGATAGCAAAGATTTAAGGAATGAAGATTTTCTTTTAAGATCTACGGCAAATAGGACTTAGATTTGATTATTTACATTTGAATATTAGAGACTTTAAATAATCTGCCTGTGAAAGACAAATAAATTAAGCCTTCAGAACAGTAAGAACATAGTTTTAATCGTGTTTTCCAAGAGGAAAAGCATAAACTCTAAAATGTAGGTTATTTATGGTCCCTGAAATATCATTGCAGTTGCAGAGTGAGAAGATTCAATGGCCTGAACTATTTGGGCATTTGAAGAAAAAGTTAAAAATATGTAAAATTCCAGATAAAGTGAAGAAAGAGAATAAAGGATGAGAATTGTCTGGATGAGTCCCATAAGCACAGGACATGTTCAGGCATCTGCAGGCAACAGATGTCCCCAGCAGCAGAGACCTGAGTCAGCAAACCCTGTTTAGACTATTCTGCTTTAGGTACAAAGTCCTGATTTAGGAATAAACTCCAGACCAAAAATAATTAATTCTTTGAATTCCAAATTCAATCCTGACCATCCAACAAGTTGTTTAAATTAAGTGGTTACAGATCCTGCTCTCCCATGGGTCTAATTCCCACATCCCCCAGATCAGCAATGGGGAAGTGCTCCGGTTTTAGTGTCTTGGCAGCAAGGCAAGACCAAAACCTGTGGAGGGGGGAAGAGTTCCCATCACAGGACAGCTGGATCAGCTTTGGATAATCGTGTTTCCTGCTGTCTGACTGCTGACCAGAGCAACAGAGGTGCTTTGGGAAGTGTAAATGCTGCAGGATTCTGTTCTCCACCATCACTTCTGTGGTTTGGCAGCCTGGGTTGTGTTTAATGTCAGTTCTAACTGCAGCACCAGAGTACCCAATTATATAAAATGAATCTATTGATGACTATGCCATTCCTCCACGGGAAATCTCAACTTTATAGACTAGAAATGGAGATGTAGGAGTGCTAAAATCTTATTTCTAGTGCGGGCAGACCAGCACAGCCTTCCCAGTGTAGCTGCAAACTGATTATCTTATGGAGTCATTAATTATTTTGATCAGGGAGTTCCCCATTCTTCCAAAAGAACTTTCTGTTGTTGCATCAGGATGCCTTAAAGCTCAACCAGATAATTCTAAAAAGTCATTTTTTTTCTCTTGAAATAACTGGCAAAACTACTTGTGCTTAGAACAAGCCCCAGATATACAAGATTTCACTGCACCCAAGGCTGGAGTTCAAAATTAGTTATCTTATATCCCAGTCCACTTAACAAAACTCCATGAGTTTA